CCATCATGGGCGAAGCCGCCAAGACGCTCAAGAACATCACCCTCGAGACGGGCGGCAAGAGCCCCCTGCTCGTGTTTGGCGACGCCGATCTCGAGCAGGCCGTGAAGTGGTCGCATATGGGTATCATGTCCAACCAGGGCCAGATCTGCACCGCTACATCTAGAATCTTGGTCCAGGAGTCCATCTACGAGGAGTTCATCCCCAAGTTCCTCGAGACGCTCAAGGCTACCAGCAAGGTCGGCAGCCAGTGGGACAAGGACACCTACCAAGGCCCCCAGGTCTCCAAGGTCCAGTTCGAGCGCGTGCTCGAGTACATCGACATTGGCAAGAAGGAGGGCGCTACCCTCGCTGCGGGTGGCGAGCCCCTCAACATCGGCGGCAAGGGCAAGGGCTTCTTCGTTGCGCCCACGGTCTTCACCAACGTCACGACCTCGATGCGGGTGTGGGGCGAGGAGATTTTCGGCCCCGTGGTGGTTATCGCGAGCTTCAAGACCGAGGAGGAGGCTATTGCGTTGGCGAATAACAGCCAGTACGGGCTCGGCGCCGCTGTCTTCACGCAGAATGTCGAGCGCGCGCACCGTGTTGCGTCGGAGATTGAGGCCGGTATGGTGTGGGTGAACAGTACCCAGGATAGCGACCCCCGCGTGCCGTTTGGCGGTGTGAAGCAGAGTGGTATCGGCAGAGAGCTGGGCGAGGCTGGGTTGGAGGCGTATAGTCAGATCAAGGCTGTCCACGTTAATATGGGCACGAGGTTGTGAGGAGTTGCTGTTGGGTTTGAAGTGTTTTGAATAGAGCTCGTCAGTAAGATGGGGATGTGACAATGGAAAACATTCTTGATCATGCTTATCGGCATCGAAGACTGATTTCTCTCCTATGGATGCAAGACTAAATCATGCCGACCCGGCAGCAGCGTCACTCTCTTCCCAGACGCGCCCTTGACCCCCTCGGTGCCCTCACGCCTAATCACAACCTCACTCTCGTCTCTCGGCAACAACAAAGTTCCCTTCGTACTTGTCGGCACAACCACCCTCATCCTCACATCCTCGCCCTCACGCTTAAAGATAACCTCAATCAACCCATACGGACACTCAAACGTCCCCTCCACAAAATCAAACTCCGACTTCAACGGCGGCTTCACCGTCCACGTCTTGTAACCATCCTCCTCGACCTGGATACCGAGCACAGCCTCATAGAACCACTCGTAAATCGTCCCCAGCATGTCGTGGCACTTACTCCGGCACGCATCCTGCCAGAACTCATTGAGCGTCGTCTCCCCGCGGCGCAGGAAACGCATGTAGGAGGGATGCTCCTCCTGCCGCGCCATCGCCATGACGATATCTGGACGGTCGACGTCCGTGAAGGTGTTCCAAAGCCACTTGAGCCCGATTTCACCGGCGCGGATCCGGCAGTCTGCCACGTCGTCTAGGAAGGCCTGCTGCACGTCTGCCACATGCTCTGTCGGGACAAGACCGAATTGCAGGGCCATGGCCTGGGCAATCATCGTTCGGTCGTGGGTTGCCGGGTTGTCGAGGGATGTGTAGAAAGCGTAAGGGTGTTCCATCTTGTCGGTGACGAGGAGGTGGCGGTTGTAGGTCTCGTAGATGCGATCAGCCCACGCGCGCCACTTCTGCTCGTCTTCGACATGGCCGAGTTCCTTGGCCATCAACTCCACATTGCGGAGACACTTGTAGTAGATTGCCGTCTCAATATTGGCCTGGTGGTTCCCGAACGCGATATCACGACCCCAATCACCCAACCCATGCTCAATCAAGCCCCCCTGACGCTCCTTTGTCCGCAGATACTCCATATAGCGGACACAAGGCTGATACAACTTTCCAAAAGTATGCGTCGAGCCGTAATACCGCTTCAAAATCTCCGGGATTAACGCAACCGCCCCGCCCCAGGTAATCGTATCGTGCAGCGGACCACACATGTACCGAATCTCAGGCGCCATCGTCGGCACAAGTCCATCCGCCTCCTGCGCGTCTGCAATGTCGTCCAGGATCTTGGAGTGCAGCGCCTCAATGTCGCGGATATACTGCGTCGCGGGCGCTAAGAGGTGCGTGACTTCCAGCCAGCCGAACTTTTCGATTTGCGGGCAGTCGGTGTGATAACTGAAGAGGTTGCTGACAAAGGACCAGTAGCACATGTTGATGAGGGCGTTTGCGTCTTCCTTGTCTGTCTTGAGTGTGCCTAGTCTTCGGGATGCTGAGGAGATGTGGCGGCCGACGACGGAGTGGATGACGGGGAGGCCTTCACCTGTCTCCAGGGAGACACCCTCGATTTGGATATATCGCGCGCTGGTGAAGCTGAAGTCCGGCTCCCAGATCTCGACGCCTCCTGTCCCGGAGAGTGTGACTTTGGAAAAGACCTTCGTTTCAAAGTCTTTGAAAAGGGGGTCGGGCATCAGGACGCGACCTGTCTCGTCGACGCTCTCGGAGAACTTGACGATGACTTCCGCGCCAGCTGGTCCGCTGACTCCGACGCGAACCATGGTGGACATGTTCTGCCCTAGATCGAACGCCACGATGCCCTTCTCCAAAGTCTTCTTCGAAACCGGCTCAACCGTCTCGTGAAGCGTGACAGGCGGCTGGCTTTGATACCTCAACTTGCCCCTGGGCCCAGTAACCGGTGTCGAGGGAATCCACTCCGAATCATCGAATTTAGGAGCGTCCCACCCAGCAGGGTACTTGCGCAAATCCTTATCCTCCGAGGTATAGATATTCGCCAACGTAGTAGCACTCTTCCTCGTCTTCCAATCCGGCCCCGAAATCACAGTCTCACGACTCCCATCCTCATAAAACAAATGCAGCTCCGCAAAGAAGCAGAGCTCGTTACCGTACCGCACATACGTGTTATCCTCATACATGGGCCAAAAGAAGCGATCATCGCCGCCCTTGTCACCAGCATAGAACCCGTTCCCCACGTGCGCGCCAACGACATTGTCGCCCTCCGTCAGCGCGTCGCTGAGGTCGTAGGCGACGAATTGAACTGTGCGGTGGTAGTTTGTCCAGCCTGGGTCGAGGACGTGCGTCGATGCGGGAGAGCCGTTGCAAGAGAGATTGAAGTGGCCCAGGCCGGAGGCGAAGACTACGGCGCGGGAGGGTTTTCGGGGGAGGTGAAGGTTCTTGCGGAGGTAGAAGGGTTTGTCGCCGCTGTCGCCGATCCAGACGCCTTTCCAGCGGTTTGCTTCATCTTCGAACCATGTGCGGAAGATGAGGCTGGTATGGGGCATCTACTCGTTGTGTGTTAAAGGCGGGAAGTCTGCTGTGATGTTTGGGAGTATTGGTTTGGACGTACGTAGGTCTGGTTCATGCTGTACGGCGGCAGCAGTCTGCTCGATCTCGGGTACGCCGTGAAGAACTCATTGACGCCGCTGGATGTGGACTGTCCGTCTTGGTCCCAGACAGTCACTTTCCAGAAGTGGAAAGACGCGGACTTGAAACCGCCATCTGGCTTGCATAAAACGTTTCTCTGGGCATTGCTTTCGACTTTGCCCGAGTCCCAGACAACTTCAGAGCCAGAACCACCGTCGAGTGCTGTTGTGTTCAAGGCAACGACGATGCGATAGGCACTCTGGACAGCATGTTCGAGCTCGGAGTGCAGTACCCAGTAGAAGCGAATCTCATCCACGTCGATGCCTAAAGTCTCGTGAAAGGCATGGATGCCACAGCGTGTAACCTCCATTGTAGTAGACTGCCAAGAAGGGTACGCAGGAAATAACGCTCCGGGGGTGAGCTCGCAGCTTCGGTCGAAAAGAAAGTGAGAGCAGCTTCTAGTACCCTTGATGTTTCCGGTTCCCGGCACGTCTTTAGAGGCACGTCTTTAGAGAAGCGAGATTTCTGCGTCGACTATGTTCTGTTTCTGGCATGTCCCGCATGCTGTGCCTCATAACACGAGGGTTATGGTCAGATAGTCTCGGGGTAGTAGAGTCATTAATGAACCGAAATGACCGAAGTTCGGGCTGTTGTTCTCTCGAAAAGAGTGGCAACTCTGGAGCTTTGAAACAGACTTTTCTTGGGTGTAGTCTCTAGAGCACCTCAGTACCTGGTAGATCCCTGACCAATAAGTCGCATCTCTATACGCAGAGTCTTCTGAATCAGAGACCAAGACGGTAGACTATGTGCCGGTGGAGACCCGGCCTTCGGTACTTGGATATTGGGTGTTGGCACCGGGATCTCGCCGAGTGGGGTAAAAGGCACCGTCGTCGAATCACAGGTCTCGTTGGTGTCGATTCGATGGCCCCTCGCTCGGAATTGCCGATCGAGAAATGGCTCTTTAGACCGGGTTTCCCGAGCGTACCACACATTTATCTGGGGTTAGTCAAGCAGATATCTCACGAGGCATGTTGCTGCGTCGTTGACAATATTTGTCGAGGCTCGACATAATCCGGCAGAGATTCCTGTCACGGATAGTTGGAATCTCTAAACCATTAACAGGAGAAGGCCTCATCCTCAATATAGAACCCCCACCGGGCCGGCTCTGGACCAGGGTCTCTCCACTTACCGGACCGCTTTGAGCCTCGGACATCAACGGCCTCAATCAAGCATCTGTTTCCGCAGTAGTTATCAGCGACCGTGGTGCACAGCATGTCTAGTGACTACCCGAAAGAATCAACACGCCACCAACCATCTCGGCGATGTCGGGGTAAAGATGTAGCATTGTCTGGGGTTGTTTGGGTCGTGCGGAGGCCCCAGATTCTAAAGACCGCACATTCAAGGGGCGATCGGCCAGGTTCAGTACCGTTCAGATACTGCCAAGCCCCACTGGATGACACCTCGATCTCGTCGATTGGATGAACAGGGGAGCTCGTCGGTGGTGTTCGAAGCTGACAAGTTCGTTACTGGATGTTGGTCATCTCATTGAGCTCCAGCTGTATTTTAACCTTAAGGATTCCCCCGGGTTTCTGCCCCAAACATCGACGCCGATATCTGAACCTCCCAAGCTTATTGTACCTTCTGATTGGTGATACTTGTGATTGCTCACAGCATACGACAGCCATGGGTCGCCTCACGACGGTGTTCTCCGCCGTCTTCCTGGCCATCGGAGGTTTCCTCTTTGGCTATGATTCCGGTATCATCACCTCAACGATCGCCCTGGAAACGTTCGAAGCGTACTTTAGCAATCCGTCAGATACCGTCGCCGGCGGCATCGTCTCAGCCTTCCAAGGTGGCGCGATTTTTGGCACCATCATTAACATGCTCTTCGCCAACAAGATCGGCCGGCGCAACACCATCTTCGTCGGTTCCGTGATTTCGTGTCTCGGCTCTGCTCTGCAGGCTGGCGCCGTCAACATGGTCATGCTAATCATCGGCCGCTTCATCGGAGGTGCTGCCGTCGGCATGGTTACCTCGACGATTCCCATGTACGCCTCTGAGTTGTCGGAAGCCAAGTACCGTGGTATCCTGTCCGGCTTGCTACAGTGGATGTTGAGTTGGGGATTCTTGGTCGCCCAGTGGCTTGGATATGGATGCTCCTTTGTCAAGACTGACTTCTCTTGTAAGCCTCTCTTTCTTTACCCGGGTACCTTACCCTGGTACCTCCGGTACTCAGAAACTGTTCTTTAGTATGTATAAATCATAACGTAAACTAATGACGCGATAGGGCGTTTCCCTCTCGCCTTCCAGGCTGTACCCGGTATCATTCTCGTCACCGGCATCTATTTCCTCCAAGAGTCTCCGCGTTGGCTGATGGAGCGAGACCGACATGAAGATGCCCGCCGATCGCTCGGCAAACTTCGAAGCGGTCTAGACGAGGAAACCATTGATCTCGAATTCCGGGAGATTCGCGACGTCATCTTGGCTGACCGCGCCCTCGGTAATATTTCGTGGAAGTCCATCATCACCAAACCTTCATGGCGCAAGCGTCTTTTGCTGGGATGTGGTGTTCAGGCCTTCGGACCTCTTTCAGGTAAGCATGCATTTGATAGAACGTAAGTGAAGCACGGGACTAACGCTAAATGCAATCTTGCAGGCATCAACGTGATCAATTATTACGGACCTAGAATTTACAAGATTCTCGGCATTGATACCCAGACCTCGCTGATGATTATCGGCATCAGCGGTGCGCTTTCAATTGTCTACTGCAGCATTGGTCTATGGCTTCTCGACCGTGTCGGCAGAGTCAAGCCCCTGATCGTCTCCGCAGCCGGCCTCGGCGCTGCCCTGCTCGTCAACGCGGTACAGGCACAATATCTCAACGAGAACAACGCCGCCCAGCTGCGAAGTATGGTAGCCATGAACTTCGTCTTCAGCATGTTCTATACCCCGCTCGGCATCATCAGCTGGGTGTATCCCGCCGAGATCTTCCCCGTCGAAGTCAGAGCGCTCGGAAACGCCATTACCACCTTCACCAACTGGACCGTCAACCTCATCTTTGCGCAAATCTCCCCCGAGGCGTTGACCAACATCGGATTCCGCTATTTCTACGTCTTCTTCGTTTTCAACTTGATCGCTATGATGTGCTACATCTTCTTCTTCCCCGAGACCAAGGGTAGAACGCTTGAGCAGATGGATGAGCTGTTTGGCGACCAGTTGGTGCCTCATGCTATGCAAGACTCTGTCGGGGCTGCTGCTGCAGTTGCCAAGGATGAGAAGCTGGTGGAGCAGCTTGATCATGTTTGAGCAGAGGTCTTTGACAAAAGTGCGGGCCTTGGTGTTTTTTCGATATTCTTGGGGTGGCATTTTGATCGCACAAGTGCTGGTAGGAAAGGAGTTGGCCCACGAAAACGTACAACTTGTTGGTTACGTAGCTAGAGTGCCAAATTTCTCATATTTATGAAAGGAAATCCCACCGGCACAGATCGTTGACTGCGTACTCTCAAGTACTTGCGCATTGTAGACTTCGCACAACAGCTGTAACTAAGTGACAAAGAATGGCATACCCATATCCGTCCAGATCGAATGACATGATTCTCCTCCCTAAATTATGGCTCGTTGCATTACCGTATGGAGACGAGCATCAAAGGATAGCCTAGACCACATTGTTCGCCAATCTAGGCCTAGTAACATGTTTGGTTGATCTGGCTGACAGGATTCATGGACGACGTTTTTAAGCCATACCCGAATAGGCAAACAAACTGGTCTGAGATAGAAGTCAGCATCAAAATGCTGAGTTTGTCAGAGCCAACGTCCGATTTCAGTAAGGGCAGAATGAACTTATCTATAAAGATCATACAGGTCGTCGACCTAACCCTCTGGTTCTGTTCCTTTTATCGACACCTTAACATAAAGCCATATCTGTTCCCAGGCTGATCTCCGCAGCCAAGTAAATACAACAAGCTTAATCTCGCACTCACTCTACACTATCACGATGGTCGGCTCCGGAGACCTTCCACCATCAAGCCTCTCTTTTGGACGAGTTTTCTACAACAATCAATTCTGCGCGAAGCCACAATGGCCAACACCAGGAACCAGTCTTTCCGGCAAGACAGCGGTCATCACGGGCGGTAATACGGGCTTAGGCTATGAAGCCGCCTTTCAACTGCTGGATCTCAAATTGTCCCGCCTAATCCTAGCTGTGCGCTCACCCGAGCGGGGCGAAGAAGCCGCTGAGAAGCTTCGTCAACGCTATCCTGCCGCCATCGTCAACGTCTGGATACTTGACATGTGCTCCTACAAGTCAGTCCAAGATTTCGTGCGCCGCATAGACACCGAGTTGAATCACATCGACATCGCCCTTCTCAATGCCGGCGTGATACGGATGGACTTTACTCAAGTCCCCGGCACCGGTCATGAAGAAACGATTCAGGTCAATTACCTCTCTACCGTGCTCCTCGCCATACTTCTTCTTCCTATCTTGAAGGCCAAACGTCAGAAAAGCGGCGGCCCTGCACGTCTTACAATCGTCAATGCCGCTCTAACATTGGCGGCCACGTTCCCCAACAGAGATGTCAACCCTCTCCTCCCATCCTTTGATGATCCTGAGGTCTTTGCCAAATACAGTCGGGAGACATACAATACGTCAAAGCTGCTCGCACACATGTTTCTCTGGAGACTGGTCGACCACGTCTCTGCCGACGACGTCATTGTCAACCTTGCTGACCCGGCGTGGTGCAAAGGCACAGACTTGGCCCGCGATGCTCAGGGGATCATGAAGTTGGGAGTTGCCGTGTTTGGGGCGACAACTGGAAGAACTCCTCGAGTCGGGGCCTCGTGCTTTGTCGACGCCATTGTGAACAAAGGCAAAGAGTCTCATGGATGCTTCCTCATGAGCTGGAAGATTCATCCGTAAGTTTAGCTTTCTCGGTCGTCACTTCTTGCATTTCTGACAGGTTCCAGTTTTGCCGCATTTCTCTATACATCTGAGGGCAGCGCCGTTATAGATCGTCTTTGGGAAGAGACGCTAGAAGAGCTGGACTTTGCGGGCATTCGATCCATCTTGAAAGCGCTGTAGGCGCTGGGTAGGTTTTCCCCTCTCCAGGAAATCGTATTGTCTCAGTGTGGCCGAATTGTTTAAACTAGCGTGCAAGGTGAAGCCAGCCAGACTGTAGGCACAATGTCGTTTCACGGTCTGAACTCGTGCTTCTTTCTGGTCAATACTTACCATGTTCTCATCATGTCTGCATGGTAGAGTTCCTTAGTCAAATCTGTGTCATCAATATATTTAATGTCATTAAAGCGCTCAGGAATTTTGAGTCGAAATTGTCGCAATCGTAGTGCGTAAGAGTCGAAATCCTCTAGGTCTCTATCTTCCAAATTTGAGCTTATCTAGATTACAATAAAGCTAACGGGATTTTAAGGGACTACAGTCGCTGGTCACATCTCTAGCCAGGCCAAGGTGCCCAAACTGAAGTTTTGTTAATGTTCATCTTGCCCACTTAAATGCTCCGGAATGCATATTCCGTTCGGCATAGGTGGATCGCGCCATATGAGCCGGAACGTTTTTTGCGGGGTGAGATAAGCCTGTGCAATCGAACAACGACAATTGTTCCCGGCAGCTGGGTCACAAAGCCGATGTTCGGATGTTGTTGAACAGTCGACAAATCATGTAGCACACAGATATTCTCTCCCTGCCAAGCAGCAGGACAGATGCTCCCACTCCGAGGCGCGGGGTTTGAGCGAGGTAATAGTAGGCGGGGAAGAGGCTGGTTTGATAACATGCATGCTCTTATCAGTGGAAATACCTTCACAACGTCACTTGGCAGTAAATTAGCTTCATGAAAACTTTTGTCTACTTTGACATCCCCTTAGGCCTCGTCGCGGAAGCTAGTGCACTGTAGATACTCAAGGCATGGAGTATTTATACCCAAAGAGTGTCGCGCTCCTCCCGTCATGGACAGAACCCAGCTTCCCAGCCAACTCATCTCAGAGCATCTTTGACTTTCACCTGCTCGACGTCCTTCCGATGGCAGCTCGAGCTCTCCATTTCGTCTGCCTTGCAGGCATTGCTACCGCTCTTGTCGATAGGAGTTCCCTTATCTTGACCCACACTATCAATGGCGTAGATCAGGCCTTCCAACTTGGCAACAAGAGCTACTTGGCAACATCCGGCTCACCACTCGCTGTCGCAGCCGCAAATCCCAAGGCAACCACCTCTCCGGGAACCCATATCGTCGCAATTAGCCCAGTAATCACTGGGAAGTACCTCCAAGATACGATTGCTCGGTACCTAGCCGAAGACGATGTATTCTCTGAGGACTTCCTTGAGACACTCATTCTGAGTTCTAACTGCTCTTCAAAGCTTGATGAAGCCGCAACAGCTTTCGTGGCATCCGTTGGGTCGCAAGTTCTCATGCTGCCTTCTTCTCAACTCGAGTCATCGATGCCGCCCCCCGGCCCCTTGCTTCTAGAGTCTAATGGCAAGGAAGTCACGCTCTCCAAGGTCTTTCGTCTCTACACGGACACCTACAGTGACTTTGTCCACGGAATCTACGAATCCAACGGGACTTATAAGGTCCTCGGCTTGACCGATACTGATTGGGGTTACCCCTTAGTCCCAGTCCCATCCCGCCTCTACAGTGAGGCCGACCCTCGGCCTCTGGCCGGGGCAAGAATCGGCGTCAAGGACATCTATGATGTAAAAGGGCTCAAGACTACGCTGGGAAGCAAAGCATGGACACAAATGACCACCGAGGCCAATGCAACCGCTCCTTCTATCCAGCGTATCATTGACCTCGGCGGGATCGTCGTGGGGAAGCAGAAAACCTCCCAATTCGCGTCTGCAGCTCACGCGTGGGAGTGGACCGACGTTTATTATCCCCAGAATCCCCGCGGTGATGGGTATCTCAGTTGCTCGGCGTCGTCCGCTGGTGGCGGGTGCTCTATTGCGGCCTACGACTGGCTCGACTTTGCCATCGGATCGGACACTGGCCAGTCCATGCGCCAACCGGCAGCGTTCTCGGGTACTTTTGGGAACCGCCCATCGCAAGGCCTCATGATTCTGGATGGAGTCATGCCCATCTCCTATGGTGCCGACACGGGCGGTGTGTTTGCACGTGATCCCCAGGACTGGGTGAAGTTCGCTAAGCTTTGGTACGACCCTTCGCTTCACCAAGACAGCAGCCTTAATGGGCTGCCTGAGCTTGTGGTTCCGGACTCTCTGGCGTTCCCGAAGCGGATTCTTTATCCCACCGACCACCTTCCGCTACAAAACACCGCCGCCGAGACTGTCCTGCAGAGTTTTTTGGCTCAAGTCAATAAGGCCATGAACTTGACGGTCTCGAAAGTTAACATCACAGAAGCAGTCGAGACCGTTACCGGTCGAGATCTTGACAGTATTCTGGCCGATCTGAACACTATCTGGACCTACACACAGCTCAAGGTCGTGGCCACACCTCTGAATGCCCACTATAGCCCTGATTTCCCTTCCTTGGATAGACCATTCCGAATTGCCTTCAGGAACTTCGCCCTAGATGTCGAAGGACACACTGAAGCGCTTGACCGAAGACGTCAGGACTCGGACGCCTGGCACCGCGAGGTCTTGTTCAACACGACTGAGAGCTGCTCCGAGTCCGTCATGATCTACGACATCGGTACGGGTGGACTTCCCTCCTTCAGAGAGGCTGAGTTGAATGAGTCTCCCGGTGCCGCCCTTCCTCAAGGAACTGGAACTCGAGGAGCTGGTTCTGCCCTCGCGTCCTATTTCGGGAGCGCAGACTTCACCATTCCAATTGGGCAGGTGCCTTACTACAGCAACATTACTTACCGAGAGGAAATGATGCCTGTGACCATCAACATGGTGGCAAGACGGGGTTGTGACTTTGTTTTGTTCAATCTCGTAGAAGAGTTGGCGAAGCAAGGAGTCTTGGGGCCTGTTGCTACTGGTTCGCGAACCTTTGTATGATACTAGTGCTGGTCAATGTCCCCTATGGGACTAAGCTGAAAGCATTCCTGTCAATGTCTTGTCCTGCCATTCTTCCCAATAGACAACGCCCGCAAAATACAAAGAATCAATTTGAGCCATTCCTTCATCTTCTTCATGGGTCCAGCCCAAGTCAATGCCAGTCGTAATCGTCTGGGTAAGCACCAGGCAGACTCTGATGCGAACCCTCGGCATACGAATACCCAATCATGGGCTGAAAATCATGGCCAGGCACATCCACAAGCCCGAGAACAATCGAGGCCTGTCTCTTCTCCCAGTACAACTCCAGGGTCGTTTTTTCCTGCGTCTTCATCCACGGGCACTTGTGGCGAGCCTCTTTGAACTTCTGTCGCTCGTGGTTGAGAAGCCAGTTCTCTTCATTCTTGGTCAAGGGAGTCTTAAGCGTCTTGACGCTCACAATGTCGTAGAAAGCGCTTGTGGTGTCTTGCTGGATTTGAGAAACTCCAGCTTCCACGTCGGCTTCTTGTGGTAGGATTGAGCATGGCGACGGGCGTCGCTTCGACGACTGCAGTCCATGGAATGCCATATCAGCTTCAAGATCGATGCCCTATGAATGATGCGTTAGCATGTTGACTTGAGTAGAATTGGAGGAATCGTTGGCAGTTACCTGTCCAAGTTCATGGGCTCCAGGCCAGTCGAAAAAGGAAGGAACGGTCGGAGACGTCAAGTCGACTGGATTATGTTGGGTTGTGATCAGTGCATTAGGAGCAACCATCTAGAATCATAATTAGCCGTATCAGAGACTATCACATAGAACAAAGTACTTGCCTCTCTCATAGCAGAACTGAAACCAAGCATGGTGCTCTTCGTTGCACCGCCGCGCATGGGGCTAGACTGAGTTGCCTGTCCAGAACCAGCGACAGACGCCAATGGATGAGAAGACAGAGTTAATTGGTTATCGTCTAAGCCATGGTGAGGACACTGCGACATGCCACCCTGCGGTAGTTGCTGCTGCTGGGCCTGCTCTTGAGTATCCTCAGCTTCAGTTTCTGCCTGCCCTTTGCGAAGCTTATGTCGAGCCGATGACTCTCTTCGCTTTCTGCGACACGGCTCGCATTGGCTTCGCTCCTTGATCAGGCCCATATGGGTCATGGAAGTCAACTCCGACTGCGGCTTGACTTTGCGGCACTTGCTACACATCTTCTGGGCTGGAGATGCTTCGCCTGAGGCCGAGGGTGCTCCATGCTCGTTCAAAACAGGTGGCGTAGGCGGTAGCAGGAGCAATGCGGGCAAAGGAGGCAAGGCACTGTTGCCTGGCGCAATTGGCAGAGCGAACAGAGTCTCTGCGGCGGGAGCCGATGAACCTGGCATCGTTGGAATGAGTCGAACGGGTACTCCAGGATTGATGGTAGAGATGGGAGCTCTTTGAGTTGTAGAGGGTGTTCGAGAGGAGGAACGCTTTGAAGCGGATCGTGAAAGCCGTCTCTGCGCTGGTGTCTGCGGTGTAATAGGAACGTCCAAGGCGTTATTTTCGGTACCTATGGCCTGCTGAGGTACTTGAGGCGCTTGTACGTCCGAAGTTGTGCTCTCCGCCTGCGCAAAACCAAGGTTGGCGTTCGCCAAGTGACTGGAGCGCATGCCGGGCAGATAGAGAGGGGTTGGGTCTCTGACTGCGAAGTAAGGCTGCGGCTTCAGTGAAGTTAGAGGAGAGCCAAAGAGCGACTCGTCGTTGTCATCGTCAAAACTCATGACTTGGTAATGAGAGGAGAAGGAATTGGGGATTGAGGTTCAAAGACTCACGACCGGTTGCGCGAGGTGGAAGGATTGGTGAGAAGGGAAAGGTTACGATACAAAGGTAGGAATAAAGAAGAATGGGTTGAAGGAAAAGGTTGAGAGGTTTTCCAGAGGGAGAAAAGAGCGACCATGAAATATCTAGAAATAGAAAGGAAGAGAGCACGAAGTCCTTGGGCAAGGTGAAGTGAAAAGGTGCAATTACATCTGGAGTTGCTTGCTTAATTCACGAGACAGGTCAATCACATTCACCTCGCTCCTTCCTTCAGCTGCGAGGAATACTCGGGCATTCCAGTCAGCAAAAGAATACACGAGTATTCAAGTGCGAATAGATCTCAGCGCAGTGAACTTGGTTACAAAGCCCTGCCTGATACTATGGCACCAACTTGGTTAAAGACATGTGTTAAACCCCATTGTTGATTTGTGAGCTCCTTGTGGCAGTCCAAGTAAGTACCTTATATTCATTCGACAATACCTAGAGACATCACAGTCATAGATTAACCTAGTCAAGTATCGGGGGGAAATATCGAAGCCCATGACTCGAAGTGGTCGAGTACCTCATTTGAAGAAGATCTCTATCGGTCGTAGTTGAGGAGAAGCGTTTTTATCTCTACCTTTAGTGATCAAGATTAATAGAGCAGGACACTTAGAGGAACGTGATGTTATGAGTACCTAGTAGGGTGCTCTTGTACAGGAGGCTTTGAGTCACTTCCAACTTTCACTACAAGTCTCTCCTATCCAACTTCCATAGGCCACAGCATGGGGAAAATGGCCACATATAACATGAGAATAAGTGTTACAGGCATTTATGGTCAACTCAATCACTGCTTAAAGTGAGGGCGGTTATTCTGTCATCGGGCCTTATCGTAACATATGCTCCAGAACACTCATGTGTAATTATTTATACGCAACTTATTAACCACGTACGCTTGTGAACGTCCAGCATCAATGAACCTTGAAATGCTGATAGCCATATCTACCTCACCTGATTTACCTATTGAGATAAGAAAGTCCGCAACTATTCAATGGGTCTCAGCTAAGATGCTACATTGCACAAGGCCACGAAAAGGAGTCCGGCTAGCAGGATGACAGAGTACAGAAAGACTGTGCGAGATCTTTCGCTGCTGACGGCTGGATTGCAGTTGTCGTGATAATCTCATTGCCAAATGTCTTTCCCGGCGCTCTGAGCTGATGCACCTTTTCTGAGGTAGTAGAATCAACTCGTTACTGCTGTTAGACACAGGTCGCAGTTTAATATAAGTCGAGGAAAGACCTGTGGTTTATCACATGTACACGACCAGCATACAAATTTTGCCCACATAATGCTATACTATCACCATATGCAGGTCTTTAATCTGGTGTCACAAGTTGATATGTTGTCGTAAGCTTCCTAGAAGCTACATGTAGGGTGAATGTGGTAGTGGTAACCTCCGACGAGCCAACCCGCAGGAATGCTGATGTTTGCGGAAAGGGGCTGACGGAAGCCCTCTCAACTGAGCGATGATTCATGCCATTTACCATCACTCGGTCCTTGCCATGCACTGTTCAAATGTTTTGGTTGGGGCTTCATGATGTCACCATTCTTTCACTGGCGCAGAAACGTCATTCTAGCTAACCGCATGCCGTATGCCAAAGATGACGCGCACGAGCACTCCAAGTGTATAAGATCTCGCTCAAGGAACCTTGGGAGATGGAGCAATATCCTTCATCATTCAGCACATCATGAATAGAATCGCCCTCAGACAAACCAAGCTTTTCGCTGCATCAGCATCCAGAGTCAGAGGCATGTCGTCCCAAAACCCCATCCATAACGCCGCCGAGGCCGCCGGCCAAAAGAAAGACACCAGTCCCTCCAAGCCTAGCGTGATCTCTTCCGAGGGCGCGATTGGCAAGCAGTTCAACCCTGATGGTAACATCGGCCAGATCGGTAAGTAATGTACGATGCATCTGATATAGCTTTAATTCTGATCTCATCTCCTTTATAGGGGAAGCTGTCGGCGGTCCTTTTTCGAAGGACGGCACCATTGGAAGTCAGTTTGATGCGAGCAAGGGAGGCATTGCAGGCACGGTGGAAAAGGCTGTGGATGGCCCCCGCAACCCAGCCAAGAAATAACATCAACTTAATGTAGTTGATTGATAATAATTTATTGGTGTATAGTAAATCAAGCATCTACCTTGATATTAACAAATACAACTTGCCCAAGCATTCTCCAGTGAATGTGGCCACTTCTATAAGGAGTCATGTTATTGTTGCCATGCGCTGCTAGGTAGCAGAAGCACGTACCCAAGCAGACCCACATATATACAGTGATGATTATTGTCTCTCCATCTAAAAGTGGGCTGCTCGGTGAACGCGGTTGCCTTGCGCCGAGGGTAGTGAGATTCGGGCACAGCTTCAAGACATGCATCATCCTAAGACAGTAACCTCTGTTGTTTGTCGCAACATCGTTGATGGGATTGGAAGGAAGATCCAGAAGATGTCTCAACCGACACGCCACTTCCAAGTGTGGAAACCATTCACCTGCATGGGGGCTGGTCTCCCGGCCACTTCAACTTACCTTGTTGACTAGGTAATACTCAATCACCAAAACGTATAAGACGTTGCAATTTTCCGTTGAAATACTCCCGAAGCTCCATCTTCGTACCTTTCCCAACCTCCCTACCGTATCCTACTTGTACCTTTCATAATAAATTTTGACTAAGTATCACCGCCGAAAATTACCGTTCCCTACCATCACGATGCAAGCACACCAAGACGAAAGGCGGAACGAGGCAATGCGCCTCCTTGCCTATGATTTCAATCGTCCCGGCCTGATGTCGGAGGCTCTTCAGACCCCGGGTTCTGGAGTCCTACTTGCTGGTGATCGTTCCGTCATCGACGGTAACAAGATTATGGCTCTCCTTGGAGACAGCCTCATCAGGACCTTCGTTATCGAGATGATGGTCAACCAGAACAAGGCGACCAGAGGTGAGCTGGCATTTGATAATGAAGTCTCTTTTAGCCTCGTTGGAAACAATAAACTGACATGTTGATGCTAGATGCCATCGACGCCCAAGTCCAGCGTTCTGTGAACAATGTTCGACTGGCAGAGATTTTCGACACCTTCGGGTTCGTGACCTGTCTCAATCTGAATCCATCCCAGGGCTTGGCCATCGGTGCTCGGACGAAGGCCGACACTATCAAGGCCATTATCGGCGCTGTGTACATGGATGGTGGAGACCAAGGACTCGACGCTGTGAGACGTGTGGCAGCACATCTCAACATTATTTAATACCAGTAATGTCAAAGCCTCCTTCTCCCTTGAGCTAACGATCAGTAGCCTGCCCAGACCATGAGGAAACCTGGAAACCCCACATTGGGGCACCGAGGGAACCAATCGGAGACCCCCCGGGAGCATTGCACACGACGTTTCTCGTCTTCGCAGCAGATCCAGCGAAGAACATCAAAGCAGACTGGGGTCAGCTTGGGTGTTGCATTCTTCTCTCAAGACCTGCTGCCGAGAGACTGTGTTGCCGTGGTCCTGGGGGGATTCCGTATGGGTCCCTTGGTGCCCTGATGCGGGTGTTCCGGGCTTCCTCATGGCCAGGGGCCTTATTACGGAGTGAGCGGGTACCCCAGGTCTCTCACTGACGTAGTCTGTGGTTATAGACCGTGATGAGTTCACTGTTCTACAGTATATGTAGTTGGAAGGACTCTCAGTCTAACTCACTTTACAGCTCATCTTGTGTTTGCCGGCATAGATGTGTCTATCTGGCATGGAGGGGATAAAATATGGGAGATCGGATACATACATGCAAGGATTGGAAGACGGAGGAGCAGAGGGTATAATGGGCTTCGAAATGGATCACTCTTTTGAAGGGCATGTTTTTGTTTGGGGCTATCGGTTCAATGTTTGATATACGTGGACTCCCCATTTTCTGGAATTAGCACTTTACACCACCCCCCTTCCCCTACCCCTGAACTTGAGTCAACACTCATTTGACGGCACCCCGATATCACCAACACTCAAGTTCTCAATACATCACATTTCGATTCTATGTTTCGCTATTACAATTGTGATTTACCGTCATGATATTGCGAGGTCTAAAATGTGGGACGTGTCACGTTTGCCCCTGACCTCATCAACATTCTGCGCCGAGGCTTGCTACCTTGGCGTGGCGCTGTAGTGGAATCAACTTGCAATACTCGTATTGATTGTGCTTATTACTTTGCATCTGACCCTTCAGCAAACTCTGACTTTAGTTCCCATCCCGTCGAGAGATGTTCAACTGACTTCATTGATGCAAACCTTGGGTATCAAACCCAATATCGGGCCTGGGAAATCGCGAAACCGAGCACTGGCCCCGGTGGTTCAGTTGGACTGTAGGCATGCACACGCACACTCAAGAGAACGAGGCAGTATTGGCCTTCAAGACGTGTAACGTCTACCAATAAGGCATCTCAACTTGAATCTCTTCCGTGCAGGCTTCCACCGAAAATGAAATGGGAGAGCAGGATTATGTGAAACAAAGGTACATGTATATCACACTGCCCGAGGCGGAATAGATGCCGATCAAGCAAGGCGCCACGGCCTGCAGCCCCCAGGCACGTCTGAGCCTCCCGTCCCCTACCGAAATCCAGCATTCGATTGGACCTCGAATCAATGCCAGGAACGTAAGCTGTACCACGGCAATTCATCTGAGGAAACAGTGTTTAAATGATTGATAAAACCACGAGTCTGCCTCCCCTTCCAAGGATGAGACATGTCGGATCAGATTGATGACAGCAACTGTCTACCCGCCCCTAGATCTCGCCCCCGGTTCCTCGTGGGGACGCGGGGCGAAAGTGGGCACAGGATGGGGCACCCCACGGGACTCGGGGCCGGCAGAGCTTGATGGTCGGTGGGTGCCTCACGCCCCGCTGGACCTACGTCGGCCGGATCCTTCCAGCCTGCATGCTATTGTCTTGGCTCAATTCCTTGGTAAAGTTTCTCCCCTCTCTTTCCTACTACACCTTAGCATTACCATCTCACTTGCATGCCAGTACATCCCTCCAGGGCTTCCTCATTCAGACAAAGCAAGTCACTCTCGGGTTATGTCAACTTCAAGATCGGTATAAACCCATACGGTAAACAGCTGAGTTTCCACGTTGAACCGAATATCGGGAGCCAAGGAAAGGATGCCAACCCCACGGCTTCAACGGCACATAACGCTAGCATTTCGTACTAGTTGACGGAATGTCTTGACATACGTCGCTCTCGCATCCTGCCGCCTGCGCCAGTCGTTTCATACTACCATTGTACTGTGCCTGTCTCTCAATCTTGCTTCACTAGAAAACGGTGCCACCTCCAACATCTGATCTGCGAGAAGAAGAAGCCTTGCTAGACTCCAAGGATTGAGCCTTCTTCACTGTGTGCCCGTCACCTGTTCACCCATCCACCTGTGTACCCCAAAGCCAAGCTTCCCCCCGCCATTCTCGCCCACAAGCCCAATGTGCCTTGCCCAGAGAGAAACCCAAAAAGAAGCCTAAAAGAACAAAAACCACATCCAATCCATCCGACTCGCTTCCTCGCCAAGAGCACCTACGGCACGCCTCGCCTTCGCCCGGTCTGACACCTCGCGGTGCGATGACGCACGATGATGGCGCAAGTTAGACTTAAATGCCTGTCTCAATGGGAGCCAAGATGGGCTGATTCCGGCTTAACTGTGTTTATTTGCAAGTTTTTTTTTGATCATGAGGTGTATTTCGCTACGCGGGACGAGAGTATATGAGTCCTAGGGTATTCCCACTGCTCTTGAAGGGGGACAGGCGAAAGACGCTCTTGCTCGGATTTTTCAAGTCATAGTTGGGAACGATCTAATTGGGCTCAATTAATACTTTGTAGCTCCTTAGTTTTCTTGTGGTTGTCAAGTACGTGATCCCACGATGCAGCTAACTCTCACTCTCCTGTCCCTCCTCGCCGGAGTCTCGACCGCACCAATCAAGGGTCTCGACCGCGCAACGATTCAAGATGAATACGATTTCATCATAGCAGGAGGTAAGACACACACTTTCTCACCTACTCCTAAGCTTTCTCGCGGCGAACTCACTCTTCCCACCTCAAAGGCGGCACCGCCGGTCTCGTCCTCGCAAACCGTCTCACCGAGTCCGGCAAACAGCGGGTCCTTGTCCTCGAAGCGGGGCCGAACCCCGAGGTCGTCTCCGCCTACAAAGCCCCCGGCGGCAACCAGTTCCTCGGCGGGACCGCCATCGACTGGTCCTTTTACACCACTCCGCAGGAACACCTCGACGGCCGCATCCTTCGCTACCACCGCGGCCGGTGCCTCGGCGGCAGTAGCGTGACTAATGGTTTCTACTACGGCCGCGGCAGCGCTTCCGTGTATGATGACTGGGTTAAAGTCGGGAACCCCGGTTGGGGATGGGACGACGTCTATCCTCTTTTTGTAAAGGTAACGCTCACGTTCAGTTGTACGGTTTCGGGTTTTGGGTACGATCCCTTAACATGACAATAGGGCACACACTTCAACCCCCCAACCGATCACCAAGTCCGAGGCTTTGACGTCTCCTACAAGACCCACGACCCTTCGGCCTACGCCGACGGCCCCCTCCAACTCGGCTTCCAAGGCTACGTCCCGCCCTCGGATGTAGGCTTCATTGAGGCAGCCTCCGAGGCCTTACAGATCCCCATTGTCGAGGACCACAACACGGGCAACAGCACTGGCGTGAAGCAGGGGACGGGCCATCTCGACGCCGGCTTCCTGCGCAGCTCTAGCTACGATAGTTACCTGAAGCAGGCCAAGGAACGGAAGAACCTCGATGTGCTGCACTTTGCTCCCGTGTGGAAGATCAACTTTGACCAGGGGACGGAGGGAAAGAAACCGAAGGCGGTGGGGGTTGCTTTCATGGACCATCCTACGGGTATCGTGCATGAGGTGAGGGCGAAGAAGGAGGTAATTGTCAGCGCGGGGGCATTTAACTCGCCTCAGCTTTTGATGGTCTCTGTGAGTTTCTCTCGAACCTTGCGGATGTGACATGATGAAGATGATCATGTACTAATCTCGATCAAGGGAGTCGGTCCAACCTCCCAGCTCAACGAATTCGGCATCGAACCCGTCCACATCAACGAGAACATTGGCCAACAGTAAGCTCTCCTTCCTACAGATCCCTCTTTTCATACTCTACATTTGATCACAACTGACATCAAGCCTCTCTAAGCCTCAACGACCACTCCGTCTTCAGCATCATGGCCCTCTCGACCCCCGAATTCTCAACAACAGACATGGCAGCAACCTACCAATCCCTCCGTGCCGCCCAAGACGAGTTCTACACAAACGGCACGGGCGATTACACGGCTCCGTCAGGTATTACAAACGCCTTTCAGAAGTTGTCCGCCGACGAGCTGCAGGCCATTGGCGCGGGCGACGTCGTGTCCGCGGGGCTGGCGAACCAGTCGCACGTCGAGTATCTGTTTGAAAGCGTCTTTTACCCGAGCGGGCCGACGCCTTATTACACGCCCCGCGGCAACGAGACCTACATCTCCCTGACGGCGTCAAGCATGGTAGCGCTTTCGAGGGGCAATGTGACGCTGAGGTCGAATTCTATGGCTGAGACGCCGAGGATTAATCCCAATGTGAGTAGCCGCGTTTTCTTCTTTCGGCCGCTCGACCTACTTTTCGTGGACTTGTTAACTTTCCTTCCTTGAGCGATGAACGTCAAAGAGAAACAAACAGATGAGCTGACCATTACAATATAGTACTACGCCCACCCAGCCGACCGCAAAATTGCCCTCGCCTCCTTCAAATACCTCCGCAAGATCCTCGCCCACCCGCGCATGTCAGAATACACTGTCGGCCCCTCCCACGGCGAAGTCTCACCCGGCGCCGGCGTCTCGGAAGACGACGAGGATGCCGTGCTGGCCTACGTCCGCGCCAACACGATCCCCAACTGGCACGCATCCGGCACGAATCAGATGCTGCCCGTAGACAAGGGAGGCGTCGTGGACCCGCGGCTGAGGGTGTACGGTATCGATGGGTTGCGGGTCGTGGATTGTAGTGTTATTCCTATCTTGCCTGATGTTAACATCGTGGGATCAGTGTATATGATTGGGGAGAAGGGGGCGGAGATGATCAGGGAGGATTGGCAAGATTTGTGAAGGTGATCTTGAACTCGAGTTATCTGATGATGGTGGAATTGTTGTGCGATGTGCTGTGCTCCAGGATGTAGCGTTCGATGTTGTCTAATGTGGTAATGAATACATCTTACTTGCAATCATCGTCCACGGCCATTTCCCTGCTCAGCCAGGTAGAAAGGTTCACACATTAGCAGCGTAGTTCCCTCACCGTCAGGAGCCGAAATCTTGACGATCAGCGACCGGCCGTCGGCTCTTACACGAGACTTCTACCTACCAGAGACGTGATATCACCCCTTGTCAAGCAACGAACCTTGCAAGCACTCCATTCCCGCCCAGACTTGCCATCTCAACTCTGCCAATCCTCTCTGATGACAACATGAGACACTCATCCGACGACAAGAAATGGCCAGCCAGATGCAATGAGATCAACCACTGAGACATCATGAAGTCAAACAGCATGGCAAGGTGGCAAACCAATGATGCTCATCACATAAAACGTGACACCCCCCCCCCCCCCCCCCCCCACCTGCAGTTGGAAAATCCGAGCCAGGAGACAACAGAGCCTTAGAGTGCGAGCCTCCAGAGTCCAAACCACAGAGCCTCCAGAGGCCTCCTCCTATCACTCTACTCCGTACCCAGCAACCCCTTACAAGTCAAGGGTAGGTACATCATAGACAAGGGTATGAAGACCAATAGCCCCCAGAGAACAAACCGAAGATCCAGACACCAGATGACAGTGATCTACTAACCATACTATTCGTCCATATCGGATATCCTCGCCGGCAGGTGGGGATTCATCGGGAGTGATCTCGACGGTTCGGCATGTCCTCTCCAGATCCAAGAGAACATGTCTAGCAGGGTAAGAAAAAAACCTGTACCGAGCCGAAGCCAAGCTGTTTCGAAAGACGAGACGGTGACAGACAGGCGATCGGCTGGAAGTATTCGGGGACGTGCTCACGGAAAACCCATGGGTGGAGGGAGAGCGAACACACGGCATAGATGCACGGGGTGAGCAGATTCCTGAGAAACGCACGCGACGTTTCGTGCCTCACCTTGTATGGCAGGCCCATAATTCACCACTGCGATGTGAGGGGATGAGGAGACAAGCAGAACAAACGTTGCGAACTTAGTACTAGACAATTAATCACATGGAAGGAAATGTTGGTAGAGATCAAGTTTGAGAATTCTTTTGTATTCTTCAGATCGAGTTGCGGGAGCGCCCAATCTCTCTAGTACACGATGGCCATGGCCAGCCGTAATCCCACCTCTTACTCGCCAATGTTAACATTCATCAATCATGCCGAACCAGCTTGGTTCCTATAGAATTCTTTTCATCCACCGCGACACTCTCGAAATAAAATAAGAAACTAGATGCCGTCCCGGTTGGGGTGTAGTTGATTCCCAGTCAAACCCAACGCCATATCCCAAATATCAAGCTAGTATGCACAGGAAATGGTGTAGCGAACTTAATGCCCATAGTAAGGTGCTAAAAGAAAGTGTAGTAGAGAATGTGGTGTTTTAGAGGAAGAGCGACTCCAGTCTTGCGAGGACTGGTTGCAGCGCAGCGTCGATGCGTTGCACCTTGGCCATAGCGACGCATGCCTTTTGCTCATCTTCTGATGCGTCGACGAGTTCGTAGCGGGCAAGAACCTTCTCGGCTTCAACGCCACCGAAGATCTCAGTGTGCGAGAAGGCTTCGGTGTCCAGTTCGACAGTAGATTCGGTAGCAGGGGCAGGGGCGGAGTGGTACAGAGCAAACTCAGGGTCGTTCTCGAACTCGTCATCAAAGACCTCCTCAGTGGCAGGAGCCTGAGACAGAACCTCAGGAGCCAGGACCTTGGGAGCCTCAATGGTAGGGAGCTCGATCTTCTCGTCATCAGACTCGAAGTGCTCGCCAACGAAGTTGGAGGACTTTCCGGAGAGGACATTGGTGTCAATGGTGACGGGAATGTCGGGAGTCTCGAGAACAGCGAAAACCTGGGGCTGGAAGTTGTAGGCGTCGTTGTCAATGTTCAACATGGAGAAGTCCATGTTCTGCTCGGGGAGCATGGCTACGCCGATCTGCTGCTGTTGGGTTTGGTTGGCGTAGGGGTTGATGTCCTTGGGAATCTGACGCTGCTCGGTTTGTCTCTCAACTTTGACAGCAGGAGCTTGCTGCTGCTGAGGGGCGGCCTGGGGGTTGGTGCTCAGGTGGTCAAGGAAGTTAGAGAAAGAGGGAGAAGCAAGGAGCATGCGGGTAAGATCCTGAAGGCGCTTGTTCTCGTCTTGAAGCGAACGGTTGTGCTGGCGAAGCTCGCCGTTCTCGGAAACCTTGTTGGCAATCTCGGCCTCCAGCTGGGTGATATATTCTGTGACGAGTAAGCAATCGAATTATGTGGCGCAGTGGAAGCGAGACTTACCCTTTCTGCGGGAACGGAAGGCGCGAGCGGAAACCTTGTTGCGCAGTTGGCGACGCTCCTTGCTGCTGAGCTTCTTGCCCTCTTCACTAGCTAGTAGTCTCTCGTCCTCGTCCATATCCTCCTCGTCCTTCTTGCATCTCGGCAGGTTCATGAGAGGAGAGGGGCTGTCGCCCTCTTGAGCGGGCTTAGCACGCATGGAGTTGAGGAGCTGAGTAATCTTCTGCTCGACAATAGGATCGGTAGGCTGCTGGCTCTTGGTGCGCTGCTTCTGGCCCATCTGCTGGCGCTGCTGCTGCTGCTGGATGATTTGTTGCTGTTGCCTCTGCTGGGCCTGTGCCTTGGCGAGCGCAGCCTGGGAGTGCATGCCGGGCCACAGTCTGCCGACATTGTTTTGCTGGGATGGGACAACGGGAGACTCCTGTCCGCCGATGGCGGTGGGGTTGACAGTGGTGTTGGGGAAGAAGTACTGGGAATCCGGAGGAGACTCGAACTCCATATCCATATCCAAACCAGTAGAGTTTTGGGAAGGAGAGGTGTTGAAGTCAAACATGTCGTTCTCCGGGCTCAAGCCGTTGCCCAAGTAGTCCATTCCATAACCGCTGTTGTAGCCGCTGATGTGAGAGTTGGCCTCATTGACCGCCAGTGTGCTCGCAAGAGCACCGGGGACGATGCCGGTCTGCTGCTTGTAGAGATCATACTGGTGACTGGGACCAGAGAGAGGTTGTGATGCTGAAGGCATCGTCGGGGTCGCGACGGTGCTGACTGATGGGCGAGTGAAGGTGTTCTTTGCCGTAGCAGCGGGAGAGAGCGAGGGAGACTGGTAGGACATGTTGTCGTACTCGCTGAAGTCGAGGAGGGCGTCGATGTTATCGACGTTCTGATTCGAGGTCGTCATTGCCGTCAAGAAGGGTTCGATCCCTTTGGGTATCGATATAAATATGAGGTTTGTAGTGGATTCGGGTCCGCACCGGTCTGTGGCGAACCGTTGTAGTGATTGTTAGACCCCGTGGGCGACGAGGTGAGTGATCGATGGAGATAACTCGGTTCGGTGAATGAGGCTCGTGACGATGGATGACAATGCCTCAGGTGGATGTTTCGTTTGGTGGTTTGGTTGGAGTTGGGAAGAAAGAGAAAGGGTTTGAAAGGTGGGAGGGAGAAAGAGGAAAAGAGGACAAGAAGAGTGTTGAGATAGGCGAGTAGTTTAGGGGGGGGGTCTGGGCAGTGGATGTATGGGAAGCGTAACAAGAGGGATTGAGCACGGGGACTCCGTTTCTTGAATGATTTGGGTGCCTGGTCCTCGGAGCAGCAGGGGGGGAAAGGCGGGCCAAGCGGATTCTGGGCGGGCTGAGCAGGGGGGTGGACGCTGGGGGGGAGTTGAGGAAGGAAAGGACCAGGAGTCCCAGGACGGGCGAGCAAGAGCGAGAATGGGATACTTTGGTACTTTGGTTCTTCGGGAGGGGAGTGAAAAGACGGGATCAAGGTAAGAGGGAAGGAGGCATGGAGAGAATGGGAGAGTACTGAGCAGAAAGCTCAAGACGGCAGACGGAGGGAAAGCGAGAGAGACGACCGGGGCGCTGATGGGAGGGAAAGAGGGACGCGTAAGCCGATGGACGACGTGTCCTGATTGGGATTAGCGCGGGGAGATGAGAGAGACTGGGCCGGGCGTCCTTGGCTGACGGGCTGCACCTTCTCGTCGGGTGGGAAGGCAGGCAGTGGTGTTCCTTCCCTCTCGCTCTTTCTCACTAGTCCATTCCTTCCTTCACCTAGGTAGTGTATAGCGAGTATTCGTCCCAGCAAGCGCAGGCAGGCAGAGGAAGGAACTTTCGGGGCCAGGACCAAACCAGTGGGCAACGGCAATCGTGTTCGGAGGTGGGTGGGAAAGCACGAATTTGCGAAATGCCAGGTACCTTCCTGCACCAATGCAAACTCACCATGTTGAATGTACTTCGTCCACGTCTGCGGCCTAAGGATGACGACGCCAACTACCCTTTTCGGCTCAGTCGTCGACGAATACTCGACCATTCGCTCGCAGTGATTCGCTCCTGATGGTCCCCATTTCCCTCGTTCTCTGCGCCTTTTGGCTTCTTTTGGTGAACCCCCGGAGCGCTGTGGAATTCAACGTGGATTCGCAAGCTCGTCACTCGCCAGAACAGCGACCGCTTGTTTTAATATTGAACTTCGACCACTCAGTACTCACTCTGTCGCCTGTCGCCCAACCGCAAGCAATGGCGCGATGTCGCCGTTTCGAAATGTTGCTGACGACGACTCGACGACGCACGCTTATTGAGAGAACTTTTTTGACTTTTTTCCTCCGGTCCCCGTCCCCTCGTCTTCGCCTACAGTACAGACGGAGACTAAGACCTGTTTACCCGCCCATTCTATCGTCAATTTCCCCTCGTTGGTGTCGTTTACGGCTCTACCGTATCGTCGTCGATGATGAATCCACTGCCAATCTCCTCTCACATCGTCGTGGTCTCTCGAGTTCTTCCGATAAGACGGAGCAGAATCTGACCGACAGACACAGAACGAAGCCGCAACCTCGAGGTTGATGAGATGACAAGATGGCGGGGCCGCGTATCGTTCGGGCGCGAGACCAAATCCGAACTGAGCGAATCGCTACGAAAAGTGCAAACCAAACCACACAGGCGCCTCGCCTGGCGCTATGCTGTGCTGTGTGCTGACCCGAGCCGACCAATTCACTGCCCGACGGAGACGGGCGGCGGGAAGTTGTGGTGGTGCGGCGGCGGCGCACCCTCCCCTGTTCGCTTTCGCTCGCGATGTAAATGACAGGTACTGAGTACTCGACTACCCGCCAGGTATAGCAGTGTGCATATGTAGCGATACAAAGGGTGCCGCAATCCTGGGTGTGGCTGTTCCGGTTGGCGCTCTGCCTCTTTTTGCTCTCGGCGTGGGTTGATCGTCTATCGACGTTGCTCTGAGCTCTTACTCTTCCCACCATCAACAAATCAATCGCCCTCGTTTGGTTTGTTCAAAAGAAGGTTGTTTATGCTCAGCCTCAATACCTGAACCCATGGCCTTCAACTCGTTCCAACAGCCTGACCCAGCTGCTCAAGATGGGCTTGGAATTTCGCTAGATGCAAATACCGACCACTTGTCCATCTTCAACCATATCAAACTCCCATGGTTCTCACTGTCGCCGTGCAGAACAGTACAGGCTCTCGCCGGTGGCATTTCAGCCCCCATTTCGAAGCAATCCAGACACACCTTGACACAGCATTCCCACTTGCGGCGACCTTCTTCCAACTCTCACGCCTCCCCTCGGTCACCCATCCTTTCAAGTCCTGTGAGCAGACTGGTCTCGGCGACTAGGAACACGGCGCGGCATAGACTTCATCTTGTTACGGACCACTGCCCACATCACGAAAAGGTCCCTCCGAAAAGGCTCACTGGTCTCCGTCCGAGCTTCAAGGAGGTGGTCAAGGAGGTAGTGGAAGGGAGAGTCCACGGCGTTTGGCCATGCGCTGACACCAGGCCGTCCCATTGTCGCGGCTCCAAATTCTTTTCAGCTCGCCCCCGAAGCGGAAGTTGTGCCGCCGTCTGTTGTTCACGGCATTAACATCTGGAAAAGAGTTTTGGTCCAGGGAGCCAAAGCCAGAGCCAGACCCGACGGCAACTTCAAGCGTCTCTTTCGCTCCCGACTTTCCGCACTGGACTGGGCCCTCAATGTGGTCGGTGGGTTAGATCCCGTTCAGGGGATCGCCCCGTTCGTTCTGGAAATGCCGCCCATGATCAGTCAATCCTGTGGGACGTTGTTGTGATTTCCGTTCCCTGACCCTACCGCGATAATTCATGCACTGCCACCACGGCCGTTATCACTATCGAAATCACCAAATCACCCACCGCCCACTTTTGATTCGCTCTCATCTACCCTCCAAATGGGCTGTGCCGTTGACACGCCTGAGCGAGCCATTGGGAAAGACACGGGACACGGCGTGGCTTAGATGAGCTTCAATACAGAGTAGAGCTGCTTATCCGCCTTCGACTGTCAACCCAGCCTTGTCAGGCGTTGGAAGGCGGCGATAGCCCTGGGTGCTGGCAATAAACAACGAGCATTTCAACACCAAGCGGGAACAATCATAACGAACTAGACTTTGGCTTAACAGCGGTCACTGCAGCGTCGCGCATCTTGCATCACCAATTTTGCTGGATTTCCTTCCCCCGGGCCACATTTCAGCAGGCGAACGTCGACCCGCGGGCCCTCCCAATGGTCGATGCACGATGGAAATTGGGCTTGTTACGGCCCCCAGACTCGAGACGAATCTCATGTTCCTCGCCATCTCGCCTACCATTGATCCGCTCAATCTGGACCGTGAACCGTCCGTCCACTTTTTGTCGCTTTTTTTTTTTTTTGACACATGCTCAAGATGGGTTCGCAGACGTCTCAGTCTTCATTCCAACTTTTCAGAACTTCTTTAGAGTCCAGACGACCATCAGTCCTTTCGCATCGCGAGACTGGGCCGAATATCGAACACTGGTGCCGCGATGACTGAGAGTCCGATCAAGACAGACCTGAAGCCAATACTTCCAACCCTACAGCAGAAAACCCCGGCGCCGTTTCGGCATTGCTGCGACAATGTTCCTAGCCAATACTACGGGCACCGTCTCGGCTTTCTGGCACCTCGCTCTGGCCCCACCGGTCCCGAATGTCCTCCCACATTCCCGACGTGCTGACTTTCTCGAGT